TGAATATATGTAGTTTATAATCCAAAGCAATCTACATGTCAGTCTGGTCCAGATCTGGACCACGAATAAACTGTATTAAGTCTTTGCCAGCGTCTCCCACTGCTGCAGGAATACAAATATAAGTAAGAAATGTCTGCTGCTTACCTTTGTGTGGTTTCTCGAAAGCACTTACAGTAATACCGTAAGACCAAGAGGAAATGTGAAGTGTTGAACCCCAACCTTCCCACAGCCTATGTTAGTGCCTAGCTTTGAAGTTAACCAGTACCACAAGTTGTGACATTTATTTCGTACCAGAGAATCGTTGAAAAAAATAATTTGGAAGACAATGACAGAGATAATTTCCTTCTTCTGGTCAATCTTCTGGTCAGATCTCATGTTACGAGTAATAGCTGAGCAAGAGTTTTTTAGATCAGGATTTTGCATCTGGGTGCCTAAACCTCACTGTGGCAACCTCATTCTATTTACTGAACATGAAGTCTAAGATTTTGGACTTCAGCTGGAAAAGACAGAGAACACTACTTGAGTATCTGCTGGATTAGAACTCAATGCCTCAATCAAACTAATAATAACCACTTAGAATTTTACTTCAGTGTATAGGGAAGTATAAATGCACCTGCATTTCTTTTTCCTTTCTCCTTACTGGTCTTTTTGCTTCTCCTTCGTCCATTACTTAGGAACCATTTCCTCCAGCCCATCTCACGCAGCAGCACTCAGTGTAGCATCAGCATGCATGGTCAGTACCTGATTTTCTATCATCTGTGAGTGTATGACTTCCCTCATTATCTTCCTAGCATAATACTTAGCATGCGTAAAAGAACAGCAAGAATAAAACCTGCGTCCTTATTTTGAATAAGGATGTGAGTTCCCTGTGATGGACTGGTAAGTTATGTGCCTTTCTGAATCTTCAGTTTGGTGCAGAGGGAAAGAAGTTAGAATAGTGAGGAATTTCCTCCTTCATATTCTCCTGAATTTACAACTCACTTCCATGCAATGCAAAAAACGTGTTGCAAACACTCTTGAAAAGGTGCAATTGCTAAAACAGATCTCTGAAACTGGCAGAAGCTTAACATATGTATGTATTTGTTTAAAACACTGAACAATCCCAGTTCTCTTTCTTCTACACTTCAAGATGTAGAAATTCTGGGCTGAGGGTCTGAGAAGCAAAACTGGAAATCCCTCATTTTTCCCCTGCATTGCATATGTAGAGATTTTAGGGCAGGTCTTGTCTGGCAGGACATGACTGCTGGACTTAACTCCCCAGTTCTAGAAGGCTTCGATCCTTTTTCTGATAGCGACAGAGAGGGAAAGAGATGCAGAAAATAGTATCAGTAGAGGGATATGTCAGTGGGCCAAAGTGATAGGAATATAGACTTAGATGCTCATCTTAGGACCAACATTGAACTAACATTCATACACAAAATGGCAGGGCCTTCATTTGTCTTATCTTCATCACCTGTCTTATTCTGTACTTACTCATTTCAGCTAAGTTCACTACAGCATTCACATCAGCCATTCCCACCACAGTGCACCACCACAGCTTTGTTTCACTGACTCCAAGTCAGGTACAAAAGCACTGCGGGCTGACTTAGCAACTGGGCGTTAGGAAAGCCTATGGGAGCCAATGCAACCTCTGAGTGGTAAGCAGGCTTCATAGTGCCAATCCAGAACAGGTACATACATGTTTACATTGTGCCAGTGGGAATCCAAAGCTGGATTTAATAACTTCAGGTGACAACAAAGAAAGCTGTTACGTTCAGACCATTATTGTTCATGCTGCTTTGTGAATTTATTTCTTTAAATTTTCCACTTGTGCTCCTGCCAAGAGAGATCTATAAGACAGTAAGCAGCAAGAGTAAAACTTTATCATTTTGTTTCAAACTATAAAATAATTTACATCACATATTTTACTTACTTTTGTCTTTTTTTTTTTGTTGGTTTTTTTTTGTTTTGAAACCACAAACATTCCAGCATCACACTGTAGGAATAAGAATAACAATAGAAAGCATAACCTTTTGCATAGTATTAAATGAACAGACAGAGTAAGTTCTTTATTTACAATTATTGTCTAGATAAAAAAATTCATAAAAACAGATGAATGAACATATATTAATAACCCCTAGTGGGATGGATTGCCAATGTACCACTGTATTGTTGTCCACAAATCTCATGCTGCTAAGTACAGTACGTTGAGAGCGAGCATTTATATATTGCAGGGAATTTAACAAACTGATCATTTTGGTTTTTGATCCATTGTTCCCATCACAGAGAGGTCAAGCAATAAAAGAAAGGAATTGTGATGCACGACTTGTAGTTGAAAGGTCATAGCTATTCTGCTTTAAAAAAAATCTATCATTTATCATATACATAAAGCACAGTCTCTGCTCACAAAAGCCCAAGTTATCTATGCATCTCAGTTTATATATGTTTTACTATATATACACAGAATGCAGTGTTCATTTTCTTAACAGTTTTCAAGTCTGCAAATGGTACTTTAGGGAGGGATACTCCTACAGGAAAATTTAAAAAAAAAATGAAACCAAGAAAAAATATGAAGTTTGAAAATAAAAAGGCAAACAGTCAGTGTTAAGATGCTGAAAACAAGTTGTTCCAGTATTAATAACTTTTGTAGATGTTCAAGTCCAAAGCTAGAGGCTTCCCTGTAAATAGATAACACTTTTTTTGTTTTTTTCTTCTGAATATGATATCCCAAATAGGCCATAGAAACCCAATACATGTTATACAAAGGTAAGTCACCGTATTTACAAAGCGAAGAACAATCCTGACTGAGTTTCAATCACTTTGTTGCTAGGAATTAGCTAAAATAATAATGCTTCCATGCTAGCTTTTTACTGTTAAGAAACGGGTAACACTATCTGCTGAAAACATTTGTATACACCTCCCACGACCTGTTCTGCTGTTGAATGAAAAGTTTGGATCAGATAGCGAACTACGAGTTTGAGCCAAAAACATTCAAGCTTCTACACAAGAGTCCGGAAGCTGGCAATTCAAGCTGATTTGAGCTTTACCTGGCTGAATAGTCTTGATGCACCCTGAAAACGTTTTAGTCAGTTCAGTCTGCAGTTTGGCCATGAGTCTAATCCCGTTTAGGAGAGTTCTGGCTTGATTTAGTTCTTGTGACTGCAGAGATGCACCATGTTATTAGCCAACCTTAAGACAATCAGTAATACCTTAACAAATCAATTTGTCAAGCTAGTTTGAGAGTTTTTCAATACATCTGGCATAATCAGTGGTGTAATTCAAAATATCTTTTGCACTGTACAATTATGGAAAAGATTATATGCTGAAAAGTCTCCAAGCAAACTTTATATTAAATACAAAAATTATTTATGAAAAATCTGTGATCCACAAAGTGCTTAGCGTTCAAGTGGTTGACATAGCAATTATATAAGCTCATAAATTTTAAGTTATTAGGGCTGTTACCATCTTGAAAAATATTTTTCACCCTCCTTACTGCAGGTTTTCACAGTAGCTTTCTTTGTAGAAAGCTCAAGGTAAAACAGTGTACTGTGTTACAGTATACTTTGTGACTACAGGAAGACAAGCTTCTTTAAAAATAAAATCACACAAAGAATATCTCAATATACAGTTAATATCGTTTCATTCAGATCTAATAGTGCAGAAATGATATTTTCCATTTAAAAAAAAAAAAATCAAAGCAACAACCTACAGTGATTTTCATCCAAAATGCCAACAGCCTGTACTTCATAAGTAATAAGGAAATAAATGCCTATATTACTAACTGAAAAGAATTAACACAATATGTCACAATATTTAAACATTAGTTTGATCTCCATATAGACAAACCAGATATAACTTATTTTAAATCTGTTATTTATAAACTCAACTCAGTTTCACATATTATCTGTCTAAAAATATTTTTTGGAAGCCATTGCCATATGTTTCAAGAATGAAATAGCCTCCATTTTCAAATGTTGCACCAAAACAAATTCAAGCAGATTATCAGAGGGGAAAAAAAAAAGAGAGAACCTGATCATTCTGATTTTTATTTGAAACAAAGGAAGCCTGTTTTACCTCCCTGTATATAGGATCACAATGCTACATCCAATGTGTTATTATATTTTGGCTTCTTTCGTTATTTACTAGCAATATCTACAATATTTAACCAAAAAAAAAAAAAAAAAAAGAAAAAGAAAAACCCAAAACAACAACAAAAAAACAGGCAGAAATCAGAATGCAGTTGCAATAAAATATCCAGGGTGCGATATTACAGACTTTTCAATGAGCTGAGCTGAGCCATTTTTATACTACTTCGGCAGGAAGTGCTTTCTTAACCCTACAAATAGTTAAGGATATTATCTACAGGTTTGTAAACAAATTACATTCTTTTTTAGGACATAAATAAGTTAAAATAGTCAGAGCAATTTGAGCAGAAACAAGGCAACATGCCAACAAAGAAACTTTATATATATATAACTGTATATATATATATAGATATATACATATATATAATTAATTATGTATATACTTATATGTATATATCTCTATATATAGTCTCATAAATGTTTAAGTTCCTCTGTCCAACTGGTGCAAATCTACTGTGCAAGTTAAGCTTTGCAACTTCAAAAAAGTTCTTTAAATTAATCTATACAATTGAGTCCATGCCACACAAGCATTTCAAAAAACTCACAGACCAGTGAATTGGATAAATAGCCGCAGAAAGAAGTCCTCTGCAGTTCCTGCTTAAGGAGGAAAAAATAAAAATAAAAATTAAAAAAAGGAAGAAAAAGAAAGAAAGAAGGGCCAGAAGTGTACAGTACATTCATGCAGGATTTTTTTTTGTTTGTTTTGTTTTCTGGAAGGGAACAAGAGGGGGGTATGTAAATCAGCCATTCATTCTTTCCCCAAAACCATTGTGATTAACAATTCATTCACTTGTCTCAGAGTGAATAAGAGTTCAAACAGCTTTTCAGCCAGCAATGTTTTTTAATATATATATTTATAGATTTCGGTTGCTGTGGTTGTTTATTTTATTTTATTTTACTTTAATTATTATTATTATTATTTTATTTTTTTTTGCAGGGACCTTTTCAGCTAAAGTGATGTCTCCAGGCTATGTATTGGGCTTCCTGGACTAGAAGAGGTAGCTGATTTACTTGTGTCAGTTGTAAGATTTATTCCACTGTCGATAGCACTGTTGTTCTTGTTCAGTGAAGACGGTGGACTCGAGTTTTTCTTGAGAGCAGGGTCTTCTTCTAGGTCTGTGTCATCAATGAGTGGGATGTGGGGCTGGGAATCTTCTATCCTAAACTCAGGATGAGTCATAAAGTTGTGAATAGAGGTTCTAGATTCTGGTTTTTCTAAACCTTCATAGAGAGAGCTACGGAATGCCTTCACGACGCGGATCTAGGGGGAGAAAAGGAAAGAGGTGTCAGAGCTCACACCTTTAAGGGACCGAAATGTGTTAGAGAATACTTTGTGAAAAATGTAGCATATGGTTAGGGCAGTGCAGGCAGCTGAAGTCCATAGTCTCTGGATGTTATATGCATAAACGAGTGGCTCAGTAATGTGCATTTTGAATATCTGTATCAACTGCAATATTAAAATAAATCAAGTTTAAAGCCATCAAAGAACTGATGGGAAGTACTGGTTAAAGAAAGCGAACGTCCACTCGTGTGGTACATCCCTAGTAAAAGACAAGCCATGTTAATTGTAATGCAAATGTAAAATCATGCATGTTGATAGTTTTGCAGTGAGTAAGTAGGAAGGCTTTTTTATTTAAAAAAAGTCTCTTTTGTTTTGTTATAAAACATTACATATAACAAATCACACTCCACAAACAGAAAAGCACAGAACACAGACACAGTTGGATGGGTACGTATGAGACACACAGGAGCCAAGTGTGAAAATTATAAGTAAGTAATACCAATGTTTCAAAGCAAAATCTAAATGAATGCAGCCAAGAGCACAAAAAGCCAAGCAGACAAAATACTAAGCATAATCATGCTACCACAGGGAAAAAAAAAAATCACAGTTACCACAGAGATAACTTGCACACAACAACTACACTTGGAAGCCTGGATAATGTGAACATTGTATTGTTGAACCAACTTTTTTTTTTCCTTCATGCATATGTGAGGTAAACACTCGAGTATAGACCCACTGTTCTAGCCATTTAACTTTTTAATATATAGAAAACATAATAAAGTAATGTATTGATTGTTGGGTTGAATTGAATTGCGTTGTTAAACAGCAAGCTCTTTCATTTTCTGTGTCTCAGTCGCAATACTCTTTGTAAAGTTAAAAGCTGAAAGTGACACAATTGATGCCATATATGCAGTCTTTAAACTAGGTCAGCAGACTTCTGCCAGGATAAATGTAATGTTGTTAACCACCTGACAATAAGAACACAGGTGAAAATAAACTACGAGGCTCAGCCCATTAGACTGTGAACAACAGTGCAAATTGCTTTCTCGGTAAGAAATGAAAGGAGCAGTGAGGGGCATGGCAGAGTGGGGACACTAGTGCTCTGTGGGTGGGCAAAGGGAGGGATGCAGTCCGTATCCCAGTGACCTACAGTTCTGAAGAGACGTGAAGGGTTGTGCTATGTGTTACTACTGAAAAAACATAACTGCTTGGAAAGGAGTGGGGGGGCAGAGAGGAAAAAACAGAATGGCAAAAACGTGATCTGTTGGCAAATGTTTTATGACTAAGTATGAGTTCTATCCTTCTACTTCCATGTAGTTCATGAGTGAATTTTTAGCATTTCTTAAAGGGAAAACCAAAACACAGGCAGAGGCAGAAAAGGTGCAAGCAGGCATTGTGAAAGCTTTTCCAAGCACATTTGAAATGGTTGGTGGTAGGTATGTGTGTCATTTTACATGTGGATATGCTGCACATTATTGGTTGGTTTAATATGTCACTAATTCGTATAGTTTTATTTTCCCCTTAAATGAGCAGATCGGTTTAATAGTTACAGGCTCACATTGTTACAGCTGCAGGATCAGGCTGACCAAGTCGTACAGAATATCAGCAGATTTGAGAAAGAGGCTGACTTACAGTTTGATCTTTGAACTCTGTCCTTTGTTTTCTTTACATATGAATGTTCATCATCTTTCAGAAATCCTAAGCCACCTTCAAATGCACGGCCTTTGGTCAGTCCAAATAAATCCCTTTCTCTGTATAAATGCATTTGGTAGGATAGGGCACAATACAAAAAGCAGGTTCACGTGACTACTTATGTTCCAAATAGGAAAACTAACACTGTAGAGAATAGCCTGTGCAGGTCTGGGATAGTAGATTTCAGGAGGTTGGCAGGTGCAAGATAAAAGGGGCATAGAAGAGCAAGGTTTGTGCAGTGCTGTCTACAGTGTATATAACATCTGTTTGAGAGAGCACCTGGAATTACAAATCGGTGCTTTATGCAAGTTGAACCACTTTGAGTCATGCTCTGCTCTGTGATGGTTCTGTAGTGAACCAACAAGAGATTAATTTGCATTACTAAATATATAGGATTTGAACTCTTATTTCTATGAGTTGACATACTAATTCCCTCATTACCTAGACCTTTCTGTCTTCTATTTGAAAGTGCAAAGTAGTTTGTCTAAACAATGATAAGATAGTATGTTTGCCAAAGCAATCTTTGAGGCATTACCACGTTGCCCTATTTGAAATCAGGGAACTGCTCTGTGAAATGCCCACTTTATAATATGGGCTGATGCAGGGGTATTTTCTGCAAAGCTACCTATTATTTCTGCTCTCTGGATAAAAATAGCAATCATCTCATTCAGTTGCAGCTTTTCACCATATCTCATTAAACAGAATCCTTAATTCTCTTGAATATCTCCACATTTTATTACATAGATTTAGGTTCTATTTGCCAGTTAGATTCTTTTAAATAAAAGTACATTAAATTTTCACTTTAAAAATACAGGCTTGGATTATTATGTTATACTGGAGGAGATTTTGTCGGATTCAATGAAAGTAAAGCTTTTCTTCAGGCCACAAAGGCCGTAGGTTTAAGCCTTTGCAGGCTAGCAAGTGAGGAATTTAGTTTCATACAGTGAGACTGCAAGTTCTGCAGTAAGAAACAACCACTGAAGCCGCTGGTAGTCTGCTTAATAAAACTGCAGAAGCTGATTCAGAAAATGATACTATAGGGCAAGTATGGATTTTAACTGTGCATCTATACTGTATTTACTTCCAAGACTTGGAATCTAATTTACATTTAATACCAAGCTTTCAGTCAATCTAAGTAGCTTGCTGGTATCACACGTGGTGGGGGAAACCTACAGAATCAGACTGTGTTTGAAAACAAGGTGAATGAAAACCTGCCCACCATGGCTTGAATTCAGTACTCCGCTGGGACTGCTGAAGAACCACTGAAAGAAAAGACTACAGCAACATCTTTTGCTTAGACTACATGTGTTTACACAGCAGTCTGAAGATACATAATTTCAGAATGTATGATCAGCTAGCAGTTGCATCACTTTGTGTGGAGATCTTGCAGGAACATTTAGACATGATGGGCAAAGATTCTATATGCTCATAGTGATTTTTTGGTAAAGTATAATAGTTTAAAACTTTTTTATAACTACTGATATGTAAGTAACCGATCTGCTGAATGCAGCTGTAACATAAGTGCAAAATTTGGGCAAATCCCTCAAGCTGAGATTATATAAAGCTAGCTAGTTTTCTTCTCTAAGGATCTGTAGAAAACTGCCTTCTTAACATCTCTCTACAGTTGTAGAGTGGTGTAGAGGTTTTTCCATACATATTCGGGGTTTGCCACCTTGAATACAAAGTTGGCATTTTAATTCAAATGCAGTAACAATACCCTATTTAAGCTAAGAACTGAAAGGATACTGCTTACCCAGAGTTACATGGCCCAACAGCAACAAATTCTGTTAATCCATGCTTAATGAAGTTCACGGTTATTTGAAGTAATATCTAATGTTGAAATGTTTAGAGGCTCTACTGAAGCAAAGCCCACATAGTGTGATAATTTTTTTTTTAAAGATATATTATAGCTGATGAACTTCAAAAAATGTTATGGTTGTACAGCATGTAAAAGCAGGGACATACCCATGATGGATAGAACCGAGAACATGTTTTTTTATGAACTATGTGAAGCTCATGTAAATGAGGTTTCTTTATGATGCTGACAATGCCAAGGGAAGACAAACAGTGTGATACAGCTCCCTTTTCTCACAGTAATGGAGACAACAGAAAAAATGAACTGCTTTTAAACAAAAGACTGTGGGAACAACAATTCAGGACATTTTTGACATGGCTCTAAGTTTCCACTTCTTTCTTCTCTGTAGCTGTAACAGAAAAAACTTGAGTTTCATCCCACCTTGACAGTTATACTTATTATACTGCATTAGGCAAGAAAAATAAAGGAAATAGAAATTTAGATACTACATTTTTTTCCCCATCAGAAGAAAAGATGAAGTTCAGAATCTCGCTCTTAAATACAACAATATAGGCAAAATACACAAAGCCTCTTTATCATCTGCACATCTGTTATGGTTGGTAGCATGTGGGCTTATACTCGAATGTTTACCTGGCTTCTTATAAGCCAAGTATCTTGAGTTTGGTTCACATTCATTTCAGGCTCAAGGTTAAAGACTCACAACCTCTTTTTATTTCACTCTCTCCTGCTGAACCCTTTTGTCCAATGTTCTCTAGCCCTCTGGGAAAACAAACACATTTAATATTCAGACAGTAGAGAGTAGGGCACTGCAAAAGCAAATAAATTCTATACTGAAAGATCAGTAAGGTGATTAGTATAAAATTGTAAACAAGAGGTCAATTTTGCAAAGAGATGCCAACTCTTACATGTAACTGATACTATTCTATATCAATAGTATAATTATATTAATTAGAGAAAGTTTGGTTAAGTACTTTGGGATATGTGAAGCTTGGAGATACAAGACATATCTTCAGTGTGTTTGTTCCTGTTTATTTTTGAATCCTCTGAATTTAAAGTGTATCAGATTGGATTAGATATCACAGGAAAATATATATATGGGAGTCACGTGTACGCATGACTAGGATGTTCTGGATATTCTCTTTCTACATAAATATGCCATAGTTCCAGTAAGCACTGCTGAAAAGTCAAACCACACATAGCAAGGGCAGAATATAATAACCACATCATCCATGAAAACCTCAAGTCTGATCCTCATTTCACAAAGTTTCACGTCTGTTACTCCACTGAATTTTGTAGCATGAGATCAGAAGTGTGTCTTCCACTTTCTTAGCATATCTCCTTTATTACAGAATTGTTCCAGATTTTTGGAGCCTAACAGTTTTTTATCAGATTTGCCAAAGCTTAAATATAAAATGCAATCTTTTTAAAGAAAAGATTTCTCTGTTATGAGTCTAAATCTTCTTGCCACAGT